CTAGAACGATCCCTTTATTCGTCAAATTAGCCAAACTATTAGTTGAACAGTTTGTGGCTAATCGAAGAATTGCTAAAGATTCTTCCCACCTCTCCGGGATTCGCCAAAATGAGGGAGAATCGTTGAAGGAGTATTTTTAGCGGTTTTTCACCGAGGCTCGACAGATTCCAAGAGTAGATCCTGAATTACTCCGATGGGTTTTCTTGCAGGTCTTCGTCCTGGCTCCTTTTATTCAGCACTCATGCGCGACACCGTTCATTCATATGCTGACCTGATCCATCGTGTGGAGGCGCAAATTTTTGCAGATCAAGCCATAAATGCTCATAGTAAGCAGTTTGAGCAAATCAACGAGAAGCGAAAAGGTGCACCTGGGATGGACAATTCATTCTCATAATAGAAAAAGCAAAGAAAGAAGAATCTACCTCCTAGTCCTCCATTACCGTGATGGGAACCTCGATAGGAGAAGGAGTAAACCCCACTCAACACATCTCGAGCAAATGTATTGATGGATGTTCGAGATCAAGATACATTAAAATGTCTGAATATTTTGAAGTCGAACATAGGAAATTCAGATCAGTACTGTTACTTTCATCATAGTCCTGGTCACACCACCGAAGCCTGTAAACAACTTAAGGATGAGATTGAAAGACTTATCCGTCAGGGCTACCTTCGACAATTTATTCAAGATTCATCTACCCGAGTGGAAGCTCGTCCCGTTGGGGGGCAAAATCAACAACAAAGACAACCATTGAATAATATTCAAGTGGTTGGAGAGATTGAATGATCACGCACTTCATGCATTTGTATTAGCAATACTACTTGTCTTGTTGTCTCTTTTATGTTGAGTAGGGTGTTACTTTGATATATCTAATATCTTCTTCCAAGTTAAATATTGTATTGTGCCCGTACGTAGATCTTATATGTTGAGTACGTTGTAACTTATATTTCCCCAAGTCAGACTAGGGAATTATTGTACTATTTTACATAATACAGTAATATGACGTTCACGTTGTTGTGATATTATTTTCTCTTATGAAAGATAAAAAAATTTCTCAAACTCTTTCTCTGTGATTCGAGAAATACACAATCTACATTATATCTAAATCACCGGATGTTCAATCCCAGGGGGATTTGATCCGACCTCTTCCACACAGGTTAACATCATCGAGCAGGGCTCTAACATACGGCCTCGGATAGGTCTTACATTCTTGGTGGATTCTCCCGACCTCTTCCACACAGGTTAACATCATCAAGCAGGGCTCTAACATACGACCTCGGATAGGTCTTACATCCTTGGTGGATTCTCCCGACCTCTTCCACACGGGTTAAAGTCATCGAGCAGGACTCTGACATACGACCTCGGATAGTTCTTACATCATTGGTGGATTATCCCGACCTCTTCCACACATGTTAACGTCATCGAGCAGGGTTCTGATATATGACATCGGATAGGTCTTACATCCTTGGTGGATTCTCCCGACCTCTTCCATACAGGTTAACGTTATTGAGTAGGGCTCTAACATATAACCTCGGATAGGTCTTATATCATTGGTGGATTCTCCCGACCTCTTCCATACATGTTAACGTTATCGAGCAGGGCTCTGACATATAACTTTGAATATGTCTTATATCCTTGGTGTATTCTCTTGACCTCTTCTATAAATGAATATAAAATTCTAGAATACTAAAAATCTCAAAGAGCACGAAAGGCACATACAAAGCATACTTCAAAGAGGCGTGAAACAACTTAGTTTTCTTTGGATAACGAGTTCATTTCAAATTAAAAACAAGCATCGAGCTCATACAATAATCTCAACTTCATATATAATATCATTGGAGTTATATTACAAGATTATACATCAAGCAATAAGATAGATTATAATTTGATCTTCATTAAGCCTCAACTCAGTTAGCACTATAGATCTGTCGCCAGAACATCGACATAACACACTGCTCCTCCCCCTTGAATAAGGGATATCTGATGTCGGAAAACTTCCGTATGGATGCTTATTATCTTTGCAAAATGCAACTAGACCATCGTCATCATTGGCTCTTTGCCTGATGTTCATTGTCGGTCCTTTACTTTATATAAGCTATCATCGGGTTCTTGCTCGACTGCTACTTGTAACACACCTTCGAACTCTCCCCTTCAGCTCTCCACTCGATCGTTGATTGCTAATGGGCTTCAACTCGACCGTCCATCGCCGAAAAACTTCCGTTCAAATGGCATTGAAATTCTCTCACTCTGCTTATCACTTCTGGTTCTCCTCCAAGATGCAATCACTGCCAGGTCTTCTCAAATCACCCCCGCATACAATCAACAATAGATCTTCTTCCGTCGAAGGTTGTCTATTAAGAAGATAGACTCTCATCGCAACTTCTTCTACATAAAAGAAGGGCACTGAAGCTTGATAGGGGAATGCCGCCTATCTGTAACAATATAATGTCTCCAATGCGAGAAGAAGAAGAGAATGATAAGAGGGGCGGAAGAAATCCCCTAACTTCTGCACGAGATGAGGGGCGCTAAGTCGAGCAGGGGAAAATTTCCACTCAAAATTAGCGGAAGGCCTCAACCGTCAGAAAGCCAGAGGGGCGGAAGAAATCCCCTAACTTCTGCACGAGAGGAGGGGCACTAAGTCGAGCAGGGAAAAATTTCCCACTCAAAAATAGCGGAGAGCCTCCACTGTGAAAAATCCAGAGGGGGGGGGGAAGAAATCCCTAACTTTTACGTAAGAGGAGGGGCGCTAATTCTAGCAGGAGAAATTTTTCACTCAAAAACAGCGAAAAACCTCCACTGTCAGAAAGCCAGGGGGGGGGGGAGAAATCCCCTAACTTCTGCACAATAGGAGGGGAGCTAAGTCGAGCAAGGAAAATTTTTCACTCAAAAATAGCGAAAAGCCTCCACTGTGAGAATGCCAGAGGAGGGGAAGAAATCCCCTAACTTCTGCACAAGAGGAGGGGCGCTAAGTCGAGTAGAAAAAATTTTCCACTAAAAAAAAGCAGAAAGCCTCCACAGTCAGAAAACCAAAGGGCGGGGGGAAGAAATTCCCTAACTTCTGCACAAGAGGAGGGGTGCTAAGTCGAGCAGGGGAAATTTTCCACTCGAAAATAGCGGAAAGACTCAACTGTCAGAGAGCTAGAGGGAGAAAGAAGAGAATGAACAATTTTTCTAAAGGCCTAAGAGGCCTATTTATACTTTTTTGGAGAGAGAAATGGAAGTTTCTAGAGTTCTCCATAAATTTCAAAATTTTCAAATTTTTATTTTATTTTTCTGAATTTTTTGAATTTTTTTGAGATTTTTTTCGGTATATTTTTGGGCCCCACATGAATTTAAAAAAAATTTGAAATCTGCATAACCGCGTGGCTAACCGCGTGGTCACGCGTGCAGTCGCATCTTTTCGAGCGTGGTGTGCGTGCCACCGCCGGCAGCCGCGGCGGCCGGCCGGTTCGGTCGCCTAGGCTTGTCCAGGGCCCATTTTCGGCCCGGACGGTCCAAATTGGACATTTTTTGGGTCCCCGAACATGTTTTTCGAAGTTTCAGACTCAATTTTGATACTTTCGGAGCTCAACGGGGCCTCTACGATCAAGTTTGAGCAAGCATTTAATTTTTGGAACACATTTTTTTGCATTTCGGCCAATGCAAGTTTTCAGAACAAATATTTTCGGACTTCAGGAGCTTCGACGTCCGAAAATAGAGGGGCAACTGATATGTCATCATGAAATTATCTTGATCGGGCATGAATCTCGAGGCAAAACTCAACCCAGAAACTTCAAAAATGAAATCTAGGAGCACCCGAACTCCGATTTTAGCAAGCTTATAATCAAACTGAGCGTCTCGGAAATACGAACCCAACAACACCAAATTCAACTCAATCCGAGTCCAAATGAGCCCAAATCAAGCGCCTGAAGTGTTGTTGGAAAGCTCGTACCACAATTTGAGTTACCAAACAGTCTCCGAGTTTAACGAGCTTATACTCGAATGGAGCGGCTCGACGAAACGAATCCAACGAGCCCAAGGTCGCTGAATTTTGACATCACTAAGGCCTTCAAATGTCCAATGAACGGTGGACGATCGAAGGATTTAACATCAACCGTCCATTCGACCACTCCCTATTTGCCCTTGATCTCGCGCCTATTTACAAGCTATGCCACTCCAGAAAAACTATAAATAGAGCTCTCATTCTCCATAAGAAGGGACCTAAGAAAGAAGAAGAAGGGAAGAAGAAGAGAAGGGGAAGAAGAATCAGCTCCTCCTCGACCACCGTCGGAATTTCCTTCTGCCGCCTGAATACGCCGGAACTTTGCCAGATTTTCGGGAAACGCCGAAATTTGGCAGAACTTTGTAACTTTGTTTCAATTCAGAAGAAACTGATTATAAACTGATCGTCCTAACTTGTGGGACGAATCAACTTCTTGTAATTTGCGCAACACTAGTGGAACTTTTCAACTGGGCGCGGCCCCATGATTTTTTCCCTTTTCAGGGTTTTCCATGTAAAAATCACGGTGTTCATTTTCTTTTCTGTTTTGTATGCTGAATATTCGTACAACGCTCAGACGTGAATTTACAATCTCTACCTATTCTAGCCCGCAACAATATTTTAGTATAAAAATTTTAATTTTTGTACTAAAAATTTACTTTAAGAAGCAATAAAAAAATCATCTCAAAGGAGGCATAAATCTAACAATTTCACTTTCTATTTTTTTTAAAATATTTAAATTAATTAAGATTTACTAATATATATATATATATATATATATATATATATATAAAACTCAAATTCAAAATTAAAGCCCAACTAATCCATCAAGTTGAGCTGCATCCCCTTTCACTGAAAAAAAAGCACTCTTTAATGACTTTACATGTGGCATGAGGCCCTGAGCGGCGGCGGCGGGGGACCAAAGTCATCAGCGCCGCCCCACCGTATTTTTTAAATTAAAAAGAAATAGTAAAAGAAAAAAAATAATAATTAAAAATAAAAAGAAAGAAAGGCGAGCGGCGCATGGAAATGGGCTGTGCTGAGGTGCACCACAGTCATTTTCTTGAGCTGCAGAGTCGCAGGGAGAGAGATAGGAGGAAGGCGAAGCCAACTCGAAGACGTAGGAAGAAGCAGAGAAACCCTCCCCTTCATCTCTTTCTATCTGAGCTTTCGCTTTACCTTTTCTTTCCTCTCTAGAAGCCGCTCGATATTTTCATCTATCCTCGTTCTGTTCGCCTGCTCCTTTGACAAGGCGCCCGCTGCAATCGTTTGAAGAATTGGGAAGAAAGGTCTTTATTACGCGGTGGATTGTGGTGCCGGGTGGCGATTCAAGACTAAATACCGCTGCAGGAGACTGGAGGACGAGGAGATCCCTAGATCCGCCTAGCCCTTCGCCGGCCGGCGGGTCGGCAGATCTCGAATGGATTGCTAGGGTTAGAGTTTTCCGAAGGGGGGCGTGCGGAAGGACGGTTAATTGGTTATAGAAAAAGTTTATCATGGTGTCGAGGGGGCTGTTTGGGTGGTCGCCGCCCCACATGCAGCCGTTAACACCGGTTTCAGAAGTGTCGGAACCGCCGGAATCGCCGTCGCCGTACATGGAATCCGGGTTGGAGGCGTTTCCGGTGGAGGACGACGGTCCGGTCGACGAGGTGGAAGAGGTCGAGCCGCCACCGGCCGCTGTGCCGTTCTCGAGATTGTTCGCGTGTGCTGATTGGTTCGATTGGTTTCTTATGTTGATCGGGGCACTGGCCGCGGCGGCGCACGGGATGGCGCTGGTTATTTACTTGCATTACTTTGGGAAGTCGATCAATTTGCTTAGTCCGCGTAATTTGCACAATAGAACTCCGGATGAGATATTTGATCAATTTAAGCAGGTGAGCTTGAGAGCTTCTTTTATGGAATTGGATTTTCATCGTTTTACTTTTTCAATTGTCGACTCTACCAGCGGGCTTTTCCTAAACTCTGATTAGTTTCGTATTTTAACCTTCAGGGTGATATTCTATAAGAACATAGATGGGTGCTTCTTACTTCTTAGATGCTTGTTTTGTTGAATATGTTAAACCTTTAGTGTTTTGAAGTGTTTATCAGTGTAGTAATTTAGATTTCAACCTTTTTGGGGAATATAATAAACCTTCTGCGGTGCACTTAGCTCATCTTAATCAGCTGTATGTAGTGCGGCATTTCTTGGTTTGTTCAAGTTTCTTAAGCGTTCGCATATGCACAGCCGCACAGGCGCATTGCTCTCTTAATTCTTGCTACAATTATTTTTTTTGTTGGAATGATGTGCTTGTATAAGTAAATGAATCACATTGTTCTGTCTTCCCTTTCCATTAAAATTGCACCTTTAAGTGAGATGCCCTTTACAAGTTATGCTAGCATCTTTGATTAAAAAAAAAAAAGATTTCACTTATTTCCTCTGGCTTGCATCTGTTGATAACCTAGCAAGGAAGTCTGATGATATAGAATGTAGATTACTATGGTTGTTTTTAGGCAAGTACTTTAACATTTAGCTGAGAGTTTGGTTAGTTTAACATAATTATGCGCAAGCACGAAGAAGGTTGATGCGACCCTTATAATGATCTTCCCCAGCTTATTCAGTGTTTATGCAACTATAAGGAAGTCCTCAATGACAATGATATAGCTATTTGGATCCTGGAAGTTTATGGGATATAAATTAAATAAATATTATTTCTTTTTTTCTTAAAAGTCTAATTTTTCTCTTGTTGTCAAACATCTGGTAGTTTGGCAAAATTATATGCTGCAGTGTTGCATGCAAACTTGTTCAGAATTTTCTTTTTCTTAGCCTTTTTTTCTTTATTGCAAAACTTCAACTAGGTGAATTTTTTAATCTATTAAATGGCATACGATTTTATAGTTTGCATTTATCACACGACTTTTTTTTTTATGCGAAAGGTTAAAAGTGAAACATCATTTTGGAAAGTTTGTTTGAAGCTGCCTATGGAAGCCTATTGAACACCCGTGCAAATTCATGTTCAATGCTTAATATGGTTTGAATGGGCAGCAAATAGTAGATCAAATACCCGCTCTTTTTTTCCGTTCACAGCTTCAATTAAGAACTTTTGTGGCAGTGACATATTTGAGTTTCTTCTTTAAAGTCTGATCATGCTCTTGATTTTGTTATTTTGTCTTGTTGTGGTATGTTGATGATTTTGCCAACCAAAATAAGAATGTGTTGATTGTGTAATTGCGTGATTGCGGTTTAGAAGGATTCAAGCTCTCTTGTTACTTTACCTAAATACTTTCCAGCAAGAGAAACTTGAGAGATTGGTAGAGTTTTTCAAACATATTTTTTAAACTAAGTGCTATATATATAGTATCAGATGCAATCCATTGTGCTTTTTTTTTAAATGTCTGCTTTCATTCTTGTGCTGGGCTTTGGCACATTTCTCCTTTAGTTTTGATTAGGGCCACTTGATTGGTATACCTTCTTATGCATGTGTTTGTTTGGAATCATTCTTAACTCTTGCAGATGTTCTGCCTCCTTTTTGTGCATCTATTTAGTTTTTTATGGAGTATCATTAGATAACTTATTTGTAATTATTTATAAATCTTTTGTAATGCACAATTGATTGTGTATCATGCTTGGTATGTACCTAAGCCTGTCCCTGTTGTTTCAAAAACAATTATATTTTCTCTCCCTCCTTTTCTTTTGAATCCCATTGCTTTGTTCTGAGAGAACTATATTTTTGAATATTTTTAGCTGAGATATTCTAATGGCAGAACCGCAGAAGTGTCTTTTGACTATTGATTTTAAACTATCCTTATTTTACTTTATCTTTAAGATGAAAAATGTAGTGAACAGCTTGATTGCTGGATGAGATTTGCAATGAATTGTTCCTAAATTTTTATGATTTTTTATGCTGCAGCATGCCCTGTACATTGTTTATATAGCCTCTGGTGTTTTTGCGGCTGCATGGATTGGTAAGTTACAGACTTAGATATCTGGGGATTTTTTTTGTCTTTTCCTGATCTATCTTAGCTTGTTGAACTTCTTGATTTCTAAATTAGTTGTTTGTAACAGAGGTCTCTTGTTGGATTTTTACCGGAGAGAGGCAGACTGCAGTTATCAGATCAAAGTATGTCCAAGTTCTACTGAACCAGGACATGAGTTTTTTTGATACGTACGGGAATAATGGTGACATTGTCAGTCAAGTGCTAAGTGATGTGTTACTTATTCAATCTGCTCTTAGTGAGAAGGTATGCCTTTGTGTTCAAATTGTTGCTTATAGTAGATGGTAATTTTATTATTTTTTATTTTGCAATTTAAATGGCTGGTTTATATCTTGGGTGTTCTTTTTAATGGCACAAGTTTTTCTATTTCCATTTAATGAGTAATAGTTGTAAACTACAGGTTGGAAATTACATACATAACATGGCTACCTTTTTTGGCGGTCTTGTTATTGGTCTTATCAACTGCTGGCAAATTGCACTTTTGACACTTGCTACTGGTCCATTCATTGTTGCTGCTGGTGGAATATCAAACATATTTCTCCATAGACTTGCTGAGAACATTCAAGATGCTTATGCTGAAGCTGCAAGCATAGCAGAGCAGGTTTTTGTTTCTTTTTTTTTTTATGTAACCGGCTGACATTTTAGAAAGAGTAGCAAAGCTTTCAAACTGTCTTATAAAATTTTGCATTTCCTTAAAATTTTCACTAATGCTCACTAAAAATGGCCTTATTTTTAACACTTAAGCTCCTAACATGTTAACCAGTTGACATATTGCTCGTGAGCCCAGCAGCTCAGACGGGATTTTCTATTATTGTATAGCTATTCATGAAATAATAGCATGCAAAATAAATATTCTAATCTTTCTTCCATAGAATGTATTTTAAGCCAATATATTTTATTTAGACTTACGAGCATATCTCTTATTACATTTTAATTTATGGTGCAGGCCATCTCTTACATTAGAACTTTGTATGCCTTTACCAATGAGACGTTAGCAAAGTATTCATATGCTACATCACTTCAAGCAACACTGAGATATGGGATATTGATCAGTCTTGTGCAAGGCCTCGGGCTTGGCTTTACATATGGACTTGCCATATGTTGTTGTGCTTTACAGCTTTGGGTTGGCAGGTTCCTGATATCTAATGGAAAAGCAAATGGTGGTGAAATCATAACGGCTCTATTTGCTGTGATTTTGAGTGGCCTGTATGCATTTTGAATTTGAGCATATCTCTTAGAACCCCATTCTATTTTTAATTAATTCTGATCACATTTTTTTTCGCTCTTCTAGTGGACTAAATCAAGCAGCAACAAACTTCTATTCATTTGAGCAAGGGCGGATTGCTGCTTATAGACTTTTTGAGATGATAAGTCGTTCAAGTTCTACTGTCAATCATGATGGAAATACACTAGCTTCTGTGCAAGGAAACATTGAATTTCGCAATGTCTATTTCAGTTACTTGTCTCGTCCTGAAATACCCATACTAAGTGGCTTCTACTTGACTGTACCTGCGAGAAAAACTGTGGCACTTGTTGGCAGGAATGGTTCTGGAAAAAGTAGCATAATTCCTCTTATGGAACGTTTCTATGATCCCACGTTAGGTAAGCTGGCCATGTTTAGGTCTCTTATCTACTTCTAAATTATCTAGAAACTGAATAAAATTTGAATATTTCAGTTCATTATTTTGAATCTTTGATTGGTTGCAGGTGAAGTACTTTTGGATGGAGAAAATATAAAGAATTTGAAGCTCGAGTGGTTAAGAAGTCAAATAGGACTTGTCACTCAGGAGCCAGCATTATTAAGCCTGAGTATTAGGGATAACATTGCATATGGAAGATCTGCTACTTTTGATCAGATTGAGGAGGCTGCGAAGACAGCACATGCACATACATTTATCACCTCACTGGAAAAAGGATATGATACACAGGTAGGAACACATTTGCTCCATCAAAAGCTATGTGACTTTTTGTTCTGCCTCAAAATTTTCATGCAGTTTTTTTTCTAATGATTTGCAGATTGGTAGGGCTGGTTTAGCTCTCACTGAAGAGCAAAACATAAAGCTTTCTATTGCTCGAGCTGTGCTTTCAAATCCATCTATTCTTCTTCTGGATGAGGTCACAGGTGGTCTTGATTTTGAGGCAGAAAGAGCTGTTCAGGAAGCGTTAGATATACTCATGCTTGGAAGATCAACTATAATCATAGCTAGGCGGCTTGGCCTTATAAGAAATGCTGACTATATAGCAGTGATGGAGGAAGGTCAACTCATTGAAATGGGTACACACGAAGAGTTGCTTACACTGGATGGCCTCTATGCAGAACTCCTAAGATGTGAAGAAGCATCAAAGCTCCCTAAAAGGTATGGTTTTATAGTGCTATAACTTCTGTTTTCCAAAGCATCATGTGTCGTCTCTTTATTTTATCGAATTTTGTCTTAAAAAGCTGTTTAAAAAAATCCTTCTCAGGACCCCAATTAGGAACTATAAAGAGCTGACAACTTTTCAAATTGAAAAGGATTCCCTTGCAAGTCATTTCGTCCAAGAGCCATCATCGCCCAAAATGGTGAAGTCGTCCTCGCTTCAGCGGGCTCATGTATCTCCAACTCTTAGGCAGATAGATGGAAATCACTGCTCACAGGACTCACCAAAGGTTCACAGCCCACCTTCGGAGCAAATGATAGAAAATGGGATGCCTATGGAAGGTGCAGAAAGTGTGCCATCCATCAAACGACAAGATAGTTTTGAAATGAGGCTGCCTGAGCTTCCCAAGATTGATGTACATTCCCTGAATAGGCAGATGTCTAATCCTTCCAATCCAGAATCTCCTGTCTCACCACTTCTGACATCTGATCCTAAAAATGAGCGTTCCCATTCACAGACTTTCAGCCGCCCTCTTAATCAGTCTTGTGAAATGCCTATTAAACAGAGATATTCTAAGGACTCACATATGCCGAAAGAACCATCATTTTGGAGGCTTGCTCAGCTAAGCTTTGCAGAATGGCTTTATGCTCTTTTGGGAAGCATTGGTGCGGCTATTTTTGGATCATTTAATCCTCTTCTTGCCTACACTATTGCATTGACAGTCGCAGCATATTATAGAATTGGCGTAGAAGATGTTCAAAATGAAGTGAACAAATGGTGTTTGATCATTGCTTGTATGGGCTTTATCACAGTGCTTGCCAACTTTTTGCAGCATTTCTATTTCGGTATTATGGGGGAAAAAATGACTGAACGAGTTAGGAGGATGATGTTCTCAGGTAATGATATCAAGAAGTCTCTTAGTCCTTTTCTACTAGTTGCATTAAAATTTGAAGGGTAGATTTTTGATGAGAAATTTAATGCTCTACAGCAATGCTCCATAATGAAGTAGGATGGTATGATGAAGATGAGAACAGTGCAGATACATTATCCATGCGCTTGGCTAATGATGCCACTTTTGTCCGAGCTGCTTTCAGTAATAGACTTTCTATATTCATACAAGACACTTCAGCTGTTGTTGTGGCTATTTTGATTGGAATGCTGCTCCAATGGCGGGTTGCACTAATTGCATTGGCCACTTTACCTATTCTTACTGTTTCTGCTGTTGCGCAGGTGAGCTAATGTATTTTCATGGACTTTTTTGGTGCTTGTCCAGATTTTGTATCATACTGGTTTGACAAAATTCTTTTCACAGCCCAAATGCTTGCTAAATGGTTTTTACATAGTATTATCTCTGTAAAGGGAAATTAGGTTTATAATATTTTTGAATTATTTTAATTGAAATTAGCATTAATTATCTTTTTTTTAAAATATCAGGTTTGCATTTTTAATCATTTAGGATTATATTTTATTTTAAAATAATTTATTTTATCTTTGTTATTCAATTTCTATTTCCATACCAAGCAGAGGATTTTTGCGTACCTCTACAATTGAGGAATTTCAATAGGTCCATAGGAATGCAACAAAAGAAATTAAGTTTAGGTTATTTTTAGATTTATTTTAATTATTTCCTTTAAAATAAAATTTCAAGGTTTATTTTAATTGAAAATAATATTAATTATTCTTTTGTATTATATTATATTTGAAAATAGCATTAATTATCCATTATTGGATGCAGAAATTGTGGCTTGCTGGGTTTTCAAGGGGCATCCAGGAGATGCACAGGAAAGCCTCTTTGGTCCTAGAAGATGCTGTTAGAAACATCTACACCGTTGTGGCATTTTGTGCTGGTAACAAGGTGATGGAACTTTACAGATTGCAGCTTGGTAGAATTTTGAGCAAAAGCTTTCTCCATGGAGTGGGCATCGGTTTCGCCTTTGGCTTCTCACAATTCCTTCTTTTTGCCTGCAATGCACTGCTACTCTGGTACATCTCTTTGTCCGTACATGACGGCCGGCTCAAATTAGTCACAGCACTCAAAGAATACATGGTTTTTTCTTTTGCAACTTTCGCATTAGTGGAGCCTTTTGGTTTGGCTCCTTATATTCTGAAAAGGAGGAAATCCCTCATTTCAGTATTTGAAATCATCGACCGTGTTCCTACTATTGATCCAGATGATAATACTGGTGTTAAACCTCCTTCTGTATATGGTAGCATTGAGTTCAAGAATGTTGATTTCTGCTACCCAACTCGTCCAGAAGTGATGCTGTTGAACAATTTCAGTCTTAAAATCGACGGGGGACAAACGCTGGCTGTGGTGGGTGTTTCAGGTTCTGGAAAGAGCGCGATAATATCCCTGATTGAAAGATTCTACGATCCCGTTGGTGGCCAGATCCTATTGGATGGCCGCGATCTAAAACAATTCAATATAAGATGGTTAAGGAGCCACATGGGTTTAGTACAGCAGGAGCCCATCATGTTCTCCACAACCATAAGGGAAAATATCATATATGCCAGACATAACGCCACAGAAGCTGAAATGAAGGAAGCAGCTAGAATAGCCAATGCTCACCATTTCATCAGCAGTTTGCCCCATGGTTATGACACTCATGTGGGAATGAGAGGAGTAGACTTAACTCCTGGGCAGAAGCAGAGGATCGCAATTGCTCGAGTCGTACTGAAAAACGCGCCCATCTTGCTACTAGATGAGGCTAGCTCTGCGATTGAGTCCGAGTCCAGCCGGGTCGTGCAGGAAGCCCTCGACACCCTAGTCATGGGAAACAAAACCACCATTATGATTGCACATAGAGCTCCCATGATGAGACATGTTGACAATATTGTGGTTCTTAATGGTGCCAAGATTGTCGAGCAGGGCACGCATGATTCTTTGGTGCAAATGAATGGCCTCTATGTTCGGCTAATGCAGCCTCATTTCAGTAAAGGACTTCGGCAGCATCATCGGCTTGTGTGAGAATTTCATTATACGAAGTTTGTAAATTATTTTAGATCAAATTGAATGCTCCTGAGGCTTCAGAAGGCATCCAGCTTTGTTACGAGAATTGTACATTGGGTGAAAAGGGATGGTCTGGTGAGAACTTGTTATCGTTTTGTGTGGCTTCTTGTTCTTGAAATTGTTTAGATAGATTCTGGGTTTGAGGTTTGTGTAATGGTGAAGATGGCTTGCTAGGATTAATGCAATTCTTTTTGAGGCTTTGTAATCTCCGTGTGGGGATTTTATTTGCCTCCTTATTGTATTAATTTGTTTAAACAGGAAAAGGGCGGTGATGTATTTTTTCTTGAGTCGCTTTTATATTGTTTGATGTTCATTTCTATACTCCATTCTCGATATATTCTTTGATGCTACAATACTAGGTTTTGTTTGGGACGATTTTTTTTCTGTTTCTTTAAGTAAATTTTTAGTATAAAAATTAAAATTTTAATACTAAAAATTTACTTTAAGAAACAGTAAAAAAATCGTCCCAAACAAAGCCTTAGCCTTAGCCTGTTGATACATCTGGTAAGTTTTCAGCAGTTAAAGCAGTGAGAAGGCTTGTTGTTACAGCTTAAACTGACAAGTGTAATTCTGCTCTAAATTTCCAGCTGGTACAGCATTCACAAATCGTATCTGTTCCCATGACAAGTGGCCAACAATGTGGTGGTGGTTAGTAGCATTGATCAATTAAATTGTTACATTTATTGAATGATTAGTTAGCACAGAACAAATGGAACCTCCACATTTTGACTTTGTTTTGTTGACAGCTTTCATAATTGTTATTTTTTAAGGCCGGTGAACGATTTAATCATAATTATTGTTATAACATAGATTATTAGATGCCCGGCCGTTGATTGAAGAGAAATCTCTCTGAGCTCTTAACAACTTATATACTCACAAAAGGTTTACATGATTATGAGCTATTTGTTACGAAGAAAAATGATAGCTATTATTACATCAGACTGCAGTTGGCTTTATGTCAAGAATTTTGAAAGAGTCTGCCACCCCACCTTGAGTAGATCTCTTAACCTGCTCCATCTCCTTTGATTTGCTCCAACAACCAATGTGTAATAGCGTCCTTTATAACACAAAATAAATAAATAAATCTGAGAAAGGTTTACAGTGTCAAGGTTGCAAATTTTAAGCTGCTTCTCCTAACATTTTATGAACTTATTATCAGCAGAATTCCAAGTTGGATGGTTGATGTGGAGGAATGCATCGAGATTATTGTGTGATAGAAAAGTCCCCCTCAAAATTAAGGAAAAATTCTATAAGATGGTGGTGAGACCTAAAATGTTTTATGGTGCCAAATGTTGGCCATTAAAAGAGAAGCATAATACTAAGTTAAATGTTGCAGAGATGAGGATGCTCAGGTGGTTGAGTGGCAGGATACGAAATGAGCATATACGCAAAAAAATTGGAGTAGCTCCAGCGGAAGATAAGATTAGAGAGAATCACCTTAGATGGTTTGGTCACATAAAACGGAGGCCTTCTGATGAACCAGTTAGGAAATTTGAGATATTAGATTTGACTTATATTAAGAAAGGTAGAGACATACCTAAAAAGGCTTGCTTAGAAAATATTAGAAATGATATTTCTTTATTAGATTTAAAACGAGAATTTGACTTTTAACAGAACACAATGGAGAGAAAAGATTCATCTAGCCAACCCACGTAGTGGAACAACGGCTTCATGTTGTTGTTGTTGTAGTAGTAGTAAAATTTTTAATCCTCTATCAGATTCATGTGTAATAAAACATAAATTACAATTTTTCTTGACTCTCAATGTTGATAGATAGCCCCTAAATTTGTTCATAAATATGAAAACTACTTTATGCTATGTCTCAGGTGTTAAATCAAAACTTTTTATAATTTCCTACTAGAATCTCCTATGTACTTACTCAATTACCTGCTCGAGTTCCTCGCCTACATTTAAAAATGAAAAACATTTTAAACATTTCTATGTATTCAAAATATCAAGGAATGAATCATTATTCAAACTCTTTCCCAAGATTGTGAATCTAAGACCCTCACTTTCCTAATTTTTTTGGTATTTGCAAATGATAAAATGACAATCATGATGCAAAAAGCTCTTATTTTGAATATAACACTCAAAGTAGCACTGAGTAAGGCTATGAAGTTAACGTGAAATAATTGAAAAAGTATAGAAGAAGAATCTAAAATGATGAGTGTTTTTCATAACTTTGATTCTAAAAAAGCTAAGGTTTCGTTTGAGACAATTTTCTTATTGTTTTCTAAAGCAATCTTTTAATTAAAAATTTAAATTTTTGTACTAAAAAGTTAGTTTAAGAAGCAATAAGAAAACCATCCCAAACAAAGCCTAAAATTAAAATCATCATTATGATGCATACCATTACCAATGGCTATGGTTACAAAAGCGGTACGAGCGAAGCCCGAAGATTCAAGTTCATACTCAAAGGTCCAGTAATTTTTCCCATCAATAGTGCGCTTTAAGAGTAAAAAGGATATTTAAGATACATGATGAAGAATCAGCTATATATGGATCGAAACACTTCCTTATCATGTTATTACGGTTTGATCACCATTGTTGAAACATAATAAACCAGAGGATGTCTATACTCCATATCTTTTGGACATATTTTCAGAATGCTGAACCTCGCCAAAGTTTAAGGGCTCATTTGGTTGGTTGAAGCTAGAAAGCATATTTTTATGTATAAGTGTGAATTTGCTGAATTCCATGAGTTGGATTAATTTTTAAATTAAAGAATCACTCAAAAATGATAACTTCTTGTTAATATACAAAATGAATGAAAATCAAATTACCATTTTTTAAACCATATATTCTATCTACAAGTAACTAAGTTGGTCCTAAATCAACATCTACCTATTTAAAACCATAAAATTAAAGGAAAGTTGTCAAACATAAAAAGTTGCATTTGGGAACTTTGCAAATTGCAATGTTTCCTTGACTACTTAATGTTTGCTTAGGGTGTTTTTAAGACCACTTCTATTTTTTATTTTAATTTTATTTTCTTTATATTTTTGACATAAATTAAACATGTTTCATTTCTTGAAATTTTTTTACTATTTCTTTTATTAAATATTAAATAATTTGATTTATGTAGTGGTTGTCCTCATCATCGACAAGACAACAATAATAGCTGGAGATGAGATGAAGGTAGCAGTGGTCGACAACATTTGTAGCAATAACCAATGACATTGGTTGGATATGAAAGTTATTTTCAAAACACTACAAAGTTGTTTTAAAATATAAATTAATTAAATATTTATTTATTTTAAATAAAATAAAAATTAAAAGTGATCCCAAACTATTATATTTTCACATGCTTGAATTTGCGCTTTGTGCATCTGATAAGCAATGATGGAATTCTTGTTTGTTTTTATTTTTCGCCTAGGGCTTTGTTTGGAACATTGATGTCTTGCGCTATGATGTGCCATGCTTTTAAATAAAATGAATGATGATTTGATAAGATATATTATGGTTTTTGTCTAAAGTATTGTAAGAGTTCTAATTGTTTGGTAGAATACTATTGTTACACTAATAATAGTTAATTGAATGATTATAATAAATATAATTATAATATAGTATCTAAACTTAATTAAAATATAAGTAATTAATTTTATTAATAAAATAGGAAAGTTAATATTCATGTAAATGCTTTTTTAAGGAGCTACCTTAACTATCATTCCAAGAAAACTGCTTTTCTTCAAACATCCTAAAAATGATTTTATTGTTCAAGGAGGCAACATAAGAATCTACTGTCAAAACCTATGGCCAACATGAAGTTTTATTATTTTATAATGACATTCGCTTCCTTTGTGATATTTTTGTCCAAGTACACCTTTTTAAACATATAAAAAGAAGAACATTACTCTCAAATCATTGGAACTAAAACAATGACAAACAGCCAAATTTGTCATTTTAGCCGAAATAGAATTAGTGCAAGAAAATTCCTGTAGTTAGCATGCTACATTAAGATGATATATGCATTGCTATTCCAGTATGTCTGAATTCAAGAAGCAAGGATTTTCTAAGGAAATTATATAAATTAAATTCCAACGAAAAATATATCAAATTCAACAAAAACTTCATTTTTATCAAGCAAAATTAGATATAATATGTTAGTATGCAATCTACAAAAAAACATACCTCCTGCATGTCAAATATGGTTGGTTTCTGCGTAGGCGCAACATATACATTTTTGACTAAATCAAATATAACCTATTCAATAAATAACCTGGTCAGAGGTGATGTAGTTGGATCGTCGGAAGAATCGGACCTGCTTGAAGTATTTGATCCCACTCCAGGGAACAAGAAAAACACAAGCTTAAAAGCTTCAAGGAGAAATATATTTCATCAATAATATCCCAATCCCTTACATTAGCTAGCTATTTATAGAGCAAAATAGAACTATCTAGAACATTAAATGTATGCTAGTCCTTAAGCTTAATAATAGCTATGATGTTCCTACATCATTCTCCCCTTGTGTCAAAAAGCTTGACTCCGTTGAGGCGCGTTATTAGGAGGTAAGGGTAGCAAACAGATTCCTGGATCGAAGACTTTGAATGCAGACTTTAAAATTACCACATCAAGAGGCTTTCCCCAATCCAAGTGAGGAGGTTCAGCTTTGGAATCCTTGAATTGAACTAGCATTTCAATTTGTCAATTGGTTGGTGAATATGAGTTCTTGGCACAGAACCAATCATTCATGAAATCAACGGCAAAAACAAGATCAATGTAAGGATATAAATTAGCATATCTTTCCCAAATTCCACAAGATAGAGAGGCGAGCACATTCTCCCATTTTGTTTTATCCCGTTCCTCCTCTTCATGACACATGTCATCCAGCACAAGTAAGAACCTTTTTGACATTTTCTCAGATTTAAGACTCTTTTGAAGTGCATAAAGTGTATCCAATAGAGGTTTATTCATTTTAAGAGATTTCAACATATCTGCAATGATTTTTTTCACATCAAAGTTGTTGGATACACAAACCCACATTTTAAGATCAAATTCCTCTATCATTTCATCTTCGTAGACCTGTTGCAAGAGAGTTGTCTTTCCCACTTCGATCGTCATCGACAGCCGACCTTCTTCTGCACTCTATCGATCTTCGCAAGCTCCAGGCTCTGATACCAAACTGATGTAGTTGGATCGTCATAAGAATCGAACCTGCTTGAAGGATTTGATCTCACTCCAGGGAACAAGAAAAACACAAGCTTAAAAGCTTCAAGGAGAAATATATTTCATCAATAATATCCCAATCCCTTACATTAGCTAGCTATTTATAGAGCAAAATAGAACTATCTAGAACATTAAATGTATGCTAGTCCTTAAGCTTAATAATAGCTATGATGTTCCTACATCAAGAGGCAACCCAAATTATTCTTCAAAACATTGGTTAGAATATTCCAGTAAAGCTTAAGAATCCATGCAATAACACCATGTTGCAGGCATAAAAAAAAACCATTCCATGTTTAATGTTCTAGAAATGGAGGTCTATATGTTTCTTTCTTAAATATGGGTCAGTGAATCACCTCTTCCATTGGACCCAAATCACGAATATCATTCTTAGTAGTTGGAATAAATCCAACCCTCACATGCTGCAGTGCTGCTATGCGATCTTTGAATGTTGAATCATGCCCCCGAAAGTCGAAGTCCTAGATCAAATGCATACATAAGCAAATCAAATATCTCAAATTTATAGTTAGGTTTCGTTTGGGATGGCTTTCTTATTGTTTCTTAAAGCAGCTTTCTATTATAAAAATTTTAATTTTTAAACTAGAAAGTTGTTTTAAGAAGCAATAAAAAAGACGTCCCAAATAAAATCTTAGTAGTTGTTTTTATGAGTTCAAAAGCTGGAAACTAGAAATAACTTAACAATAAAAGTTCACCTATTAATTGTATTGCAAACATACTCTCCAATCTGAGGGGTAGACATACGAATATCCATCAGTAAGATCCAAAAGGTTTATACTTGTTCGGTGCTTCTGCAAAATTAGAAGATTTGGGTGTTACAATAGTAGAAGTAAACGTTGAGTTCAAGAAACAAATTTTTGTATCAGAGAAAATGTGCTGCGCATAAATAGTAGCTGGAAGACCTGAGGTAAGGGCATTGTAGCGGTTAGAAGGAATTTTTATTGCGTCCTCCCACTTGACGTAGAGATACGTCCTCCCAGAGCTAAATTCGCGCTAAAAAACGAGAAATACCGAGCAAATACCGAGCAATACCAAACAATAACGAGGAATATTATCATGTGAAGACCAATACGACCGAGTTATACCGAGCTATACCGAGCAAAACAAAAAAAAATACCTAGGAAAAACTCGGTATTTTTTTGTATTGCTCGGTATAACTCGGTATTGGTCTTCACATGATGATATTCCTCGTTATTATCAAATAATACCTAGCAATACTGAGCAAAAACCGAGTTTTTTGGCGGTGGGAGGACGTATCTCTACGTCAGGTGGGAGGACGCAATAAAAATTCGGTTAGAAGAGGGTTAGGGAGCCTTGAAAAGGTATCCAATATTTTAGATTATTATTATTTCATTAATGACATTTTAAAAAAAATTATTGCTTTTTTGGCTTTTTCAGTTTTTTCTTTATAAATTAGGGGTGTCATCTTATATCAATAATAAAGGAATTAGAGTTGTAATATTCCATAGTCAAATAGTGAAATTTGTAGCAGCAGTAACATGACATTATGACTTGAGTGAAGCTGTATAAAATTGGGGGCTCTATTAAGTCAATGTATTTGACTATTTTCTATATTTTCAATTCTTTTTTGCTCTTAGTGAAACAAGAAAAGTAGGTAGTAAAATAGAAACAAAAACATGTATTCTATATACAAATCACATGAAAAATCGTCTCTCTCTCTCTCTCTCTCTCCCCTTTATCTATTACACAAACATTCACTTGGAAGTCAAACCATTACCACTTTTAAATAAAGAAACTAAAAACACATATGTACATATGCACAATTGCTCGAGCAGTGAATTGGCATACGTTATGATAGAAGGAGAAAGATTAAGGCTCCATTTGGGGCGGTTTTTTTACTGTTTTTTAAAACAACTTTTCAGTATAAAAATTAAAATAGTTGTACTAGAAAACTGCTTTAAGAAGTAGCAAAAAGCCTACCAGAAAAAATCCTAAGTGGGTGGCTGAAAGTTTGACGTTGATACCTTTAGCAAGAGCAAATCTTGCTAGGAGTAAATTAGTGGAGAGTGCGCCCAATCCAACCAAAATTGTTCTTTTTATGGAACAGTCTGAAACCCAAGAGAAAGACTAAGTAGCATAACCATGTTTCAAAATCACAAATGTTTTCATTGTGGTCGTTTTTAGTAATAATGGTAGCGATGGAATTCCATCAAAGAACAATGATTTTCAACACCAATAATCGAATGCACTAATTACATGTTACAACCATGATTTTTGAAACCCCTAATAGAATTCACAAAGAAACTTATGGCATCTATTATCCAATTAGGTTTTACCAAGTTAATGTATCATACATTATAAGCATAATGAATAAAAGAAATAAACTAAGTTCCAGCCAACCTTTCTGAGTAGTCGAAAAATCTCTTGATGAAATTGCTCTAGGGCAACTGCAGAAGGCGTGCTTCGATGGCTGAAATGAACATATTGAAAACAGATCAAATCAATGATTCTACGAAGAGTAAAAAGGTGGATTTTGGAGAAAAACACGAACTTGCGTCGGAAGAGATGAGAACCAGCTCGGCAAAGCTGCCATTTTTATCTCCCAAAAGATGTGCAGCTTTTAGTTATTCCCTTAATTTTTTTTATATGATTTTAAAAAATGAATACAAATGTGAATATTGATGTTTTAACTAATAGTTGCTTGTGCTAATATTTATTTTTTATTAATGAAATTAAATAATTCTGGTTGTTGTTATTAAAAGATAAAAGAATAATTTTTTAAAATTAGATTTCAAAACATTATAACGTAATACTTCGTCGTCTTCTATGACACTTAGTTTATATCTTCCGGGCGGTATTATGACAATTTGTAATAGTCTAAACTTTTAACTATTAAAATATTATCTACTTTGGTCTAAGGGACTTACGGTTTTGTCATGCTAGTGTAGTTTCTCATCCATCACAGGATTTCTCCAGGATGAGCATGTTTAACTACGGAGTTTTTTAATGAAATTTTAACTGTTACATCACAATGTGCTTCGATGTTTAAAGTTTAGTTTCTTTTCCTTAAGGGATGTCATAGTGGTGGTGGACAAAACATAACACAAACGATATGTTTTGAATTCACTTTAATTGGTTCAATTTTAAATACATTGACAATAAAGCAGATATAAAATATCAAATGCATTATAATTTTACCCCACATTTTTCTTCCAATTACATGCAAAAATTTTCAAACATTATGTATTTCATTTACTCTACATGTGAGAATTAGAAGTCCCATATTATATACTAAAATATATTGCAACAATTAGAAAAATTCTTCAAAATTTATTTTACAATAAAAATAATATTTTTCAAACAAATTAATGATATTTTATATGCCTACATATATAAACATGATATAATAAGAATTCATGATAATGCATATTTTTTATTTGATACCATTAATAGTTTTTTTTTAAAACTTATAAATGGCATTATGAGATGAATATTTTTTTAAATTAATTTTATTAAATTATTATATTCCCATATGATGTGTCTTCATCTTAATAAGTAAAAAAAAGCACCTCTTGCATATCATATTTTTCATGTGTTATTATTTTAGTGTTATTTTAAAATAATTATTTATTTAGTTTTAATTTTAATTAAAACTTGAAAATGATAATTCACACTAAAAAAATGATCCAATCCAAATAATGATCTGATTAGAAGATTAAAATTTTATCACTTGCTTCCACATAGTAAATATTCAACAACAAGAAAACAAAAAGAGAACAAAACAAAATAGAATTAAAAGCAAGCAACAAACTGAACGTTTGAATGGGCTGGGCCCATTTTCCTAACAGGCCCATAACTTACCGGCCTTTTCTCCTGTGTGAGGGATCTGAAGGTAAACGGCAGTAATCTTCTGCTCGGGGTCTTGGAGAGAACGACGGGTATGGCACAAAGACTCCTCTTTTCCAATCCCATCTTCGTTTTCCTCGCCCTCAAACCCTAGTTCCCACCTAAGGTCCCTTCCGGCTCTCCATGGACTCCGATCCTGACACTAACGGCGCTCCTGAACCTCAATTATCCGAGGACGAGATGAGGTTGAGTTACCTAAGTTTGGAGGACTCCCGCCATGTACCCCAGGGGGTGCGTCTTGAGAGAAATGGCTCTTTGCCTGCGGACTTCTACGACGCCAGAGAGGATATCAAGCCTGATGATGTGGAGGCCTCGCCGCCGCGCATGGTCACGGGGGGTCGAGAGGGATCGTCCAAAGGGAAAATTGGATTGATAGAAGGATTGGAGATGGACGGGGAGGCGCCACCGAGTCCCAGCAGTAGTGGATACGCAGGTGAGAGGGGAAGCAGTGGCGGCTCCAGCGGGACCGTGGAGGCGGCCGATAGCGGCGAGAGGGTGTTGCACGATGATTGGGATAAAGGGAAGCGGCGTATTGATGAGGTGCGTGAGGTTGCTTTCTCTATATGTTTAAGGTTTTTGAACTTGGATTATTTTCCGGTCGTCGTTGTCAGAGTCGATTACCATGTATAGAAGTTCGGAAACTAATCCGAAGAACGAGTAACTTTTGGCCGTAAATATATTGTCTGCGGCTGCGAATTGAGGTATGCTGATTTTTTAGGTGGTGGAGAAATATCCTATACAACAATCTGCATTTAATTAAGGGTTGATAAAGGACAACTTCAGACTAATATATTATAAGTGCAAACTTCTATAGGATGAATGCAAATTAAATGCAAAAACCAATCGTTAAATTACTTATGAGCGAATGATGATAAATATATAACTGATATGAATCATAAATATGATAATAAGAATGTAATGAGTGTGAGGTGATTTACATTATAGTTATTTTAATTATCCTAAATGACCTTATAAAAGCAAATAAGAAATGAAACATACGAGTTATATAACCTTTGATGGATTTAAGGCAACCAATGTTGAAGTAGGGATGAGTTGAAATCAACCTTTATGAACAATCCAACCAGTAAAAAATGCCTTGGAAAGTCAAAGTGGTGACACGAAGGTAGCTTTGATGATGATGGTTAAACAGTGATTAAGGCTTCATTTGATTAGGCTTTTTTTCTTCGTTTCCGTTTGAATACGCCGAAATCAATTAGTATTTACTGTTTGGAATCAAAGCTTAACAATAATTCCTTTTTAATAAACATCATTTTTTCGGCGGTTATAAAATTCTTTTCGTATCTGCTTCTTCGGTCACAAAACGGAGTTTCGGTCACAAAATGTCTTTTATAATAAAATCTCAAAAGCAGAACTCCTAAACAAACAATTTAAAATTACTTTCAAGTATTAATAATAAGCACTTTTAAAAATATTAGTCAAACATATCTCATTATTGAAATTCCATTTTATTGAACGGCTTTTTCTCAACCTCCTTTTCTAAAACTCCTTTTTATGTTAAGCATAAACCGAATCAAACGAAGCCTAAAATAATGGTCAAAATAGACTAATTTGGGTTAGGATAAGGGATAGAATGGTTATGCTGGCTCATTACTCAAGTCCATTAAACCATCTTTACATGGCATAAGGCATCACAAGGCCCAAAAAATAAAAATGGCCTAATAATATAAAGACCCAAACTACGCCACATGACTCAATTACTTGACAACACAAGGATTAAAAAAGAAATTACATAAGAAAAATAAAAATAAAATGACCAAACATGTTTTAACTACATGAGAACTAGATTTTAGGATGGCGATGAAAATCTATTGCCTTGTGTCACTACTTTCTTGCTTCGAAGGATCCTGTTATAGAGAATGAAAATTTGTGTACTCTTATAGCAATTGTAGGCTAAACTAGTGCAACTGGTCAAAAGTAAGCTAAGACTTCTCAAGTGGAGAAAGTTATTGCTAACAAATTGTGTATCTTTGAATGCTTTATCTGTTGTGGTAATGATTTGGTGCTTTAAAATTTGATATGGATTGTGGGGCTTCTGGCGACGGGATGGCTCAAGATTAAACAAAGGAGAATCAACCTACATCTTTGTACTATTTACATGTAGGTTTTCCATAGTTTAGTTTAAATTAGGCACGTTAAACATTAGAGAAATCCTAGTCTCAATAGGAAGAACTTTTCATTGGCATTATTATTTATGTCCCTTGATCAAATTTATTGAGGGCCAACTTTGTAAGAGTTCTAGTTGAAGTTCTTTTAAGTCCAACATCAATTAAAATCAAGTGTGCATCATTAAAACATATATATCACCTGTGTTCATCATCATCAACCTTATATTTATTCATAACTTAAAATAAGCTTTTGTTGAATTTGTTGATGTAAGTTAAAGCTTACTTGGCATGAATATAGATGCAAATATATTAGAACGATGTGAAACAAGCAGGTCAATAAGATTAATTGGCTTTCTTATCTCATATCTAGTGGCAATCAATGTTTAAAATTGCGTAATTGGGTATTGAGGCGTTTTACATTCGTGAGGCGAGGCTTAAGCCTCAAGGCGTTCTGAGGCGTAAGCCTCAAAATCAAAAGATTGTGTAAACAGAAAATGATAAATTTTGTATATACTAATGAATAAATAATATATAAAACATAAAATGCACAAGATATGAAGTGAAATTAAAATATCTCAATAATAAGACAACATGAAATATAGTTCAACTCAAACTCCATCTTTCCCAAATCACAGTATTCATATAATTCCAAAAATAAATAGCAATGACATATCACATAAGAACTCATAAGTCATCAACCCTGTCATCACTAAGGGGGTCTCTTCATTTAAATCATCATTATAATGAACTGCTCTCTTCCCTTCCTCCTCTCCTATAGAGTCCAATGTCTCCTAATCAGTTCCTTCTTCCTCAATATCAGTTATCTTCCTCTTCCCTAAATATTTTTGAAAAATATCAACATGAATAATAGTACACTATTTATTTTTAATAATGTATTACAATACATTAGTAAAAGTCTAAGAAAACTATATTATTTATATACCTTTTTTGATTTGTTCTTGAGTTGTGGTTGATATAGATGCTTTAAGACTATTAAAGAAATCAATATTTAAATCTTCATCTTGTAATTCAGACGGCATTACTTCAACTTTATCATCTACAAATCACTCATCACCAGATGCCACTTTCTCGCAAAGCAAAGGATCTTCATCATCAATTAATCCTTTTTTCTTCAAATTCCTATCTTTGAGTCTCTTATTGTACATAATGTACACCAGTGAATTGATCCTGAATGTCAACAAACGATTTCTCTACTTGGTTGTATGTACTCCAATTTTTTTCACAGCTAGATAAAGAGCATGTCAAGCCCAAAATTTTCACTACAAACGCTGCAATTCTGGAGTCCCATCACCAAATTGAATCCACCACTCAACTAATATTTATATAAGAGAGTTTAATTAGCGCGAAAAATAACTTTTAAATAAATGTTTAAAACATTAAATAAATGTTTAAAACATTAAATAAAATTATCTAGAGATTGTTTGACAATTGTATCATTTTCTTGTTGTAATTCGAAAAAGCCTTCTTTGTTTCTAAAAGATACAAATTGCATGTCAGCATTTGATCTTTCAGTTGTATCACTTATTAACCGATCCATACAATGATACAATCCCAACTTTATTTCAGGGTTTGTAGACTTGTTCTCTGCATATTGATACTGAGGGCTTAGGTAATAGCCAGCTGCATGCAAGTGCCGGTGAAGCTGTAGCTCCCACATATCATTAATAATATTCCAAATTTTTTTAAAGCTTCCCTCTTCGCCTCCTAAGTTGGAGGCATTCATCTCTTTGGTTTCATCCATGACATTGTAGATGAAACCCATTACAGGCTTCTTCTCAGCATCCATCATCCTTAAAACTTGAACTAAAGGTCTAGTGGTTGTAATGACATATAAGATACTTTGTCAAAATATATCATTTAAAATAATCTTTTTAATCTATTTTCCCCCAGCCTTCTTCGCCCAAGCACAACTCAACCACTGTGTAGATGTAAACATAGCCTCTAAAGTTTGTCTAGCATCCAACATGCGCTCTAAGTTCAAGTAAGTGGTGGCAAATATTGTTGTTGTTGGCCTTAGAATTTCTTTCTCTGAAAATTTCCTCATAAGAGTTAGAATCCAAGAGTGTTTGTAAATAAACTTGGTTATTTTTTTTGCTTTAGTAAATGCATTCTTATGTTGAGGTAGCTCCCCAAGCTTCTCAAGAATTAGATCTATGCAATGTGTAGCACATGGAGTCCAGTACAGATTTTTCCTCTTCTCCATAAGTTTTTTTACTTGTAGCCTTGTAAGCACTTGCATTATCTGTCACAACTTGTACAACCAAATATTTTACAACATCCTCAACAATGCTATTTAATAATCCAAATATGAACACAACATCTTTGACCTGGTCAGATGCTTCAACTGACCTTAAAAACACAGTACTATAAGGATTATTAATGAGGATGTTGGTCGGACTTTTATGTTTGATATCATACCACCTATTTGACAGAATTGTTACTCCTATTTGGGCCCAAGTTCTCATAATTTCTTTAATGCTTTTATGAGTGATTTCCAACTCCTTTAGAATCCATGTTATCAAATCATACATGGTTGGAGGTTTGAACCCTCTCCCAAATGCTCCAACTGAACGAATCATGTTGTAATAGGCAGGTGATGTTATAACATTAAATGGAATTGCATTTTTGTTGAAAAATCTGCCTATATCATTGCACACTCTTTTTCGTGCCTCTCTTGCATTTTTTAGGGCCATCTTCTGTGTAGTAGGAGGCCTATCATCTGATGTGTCAACCATATAATGATCCATAGACCCTCTAGCACCCCTAGATGAAATGTGCTTCATCTAAGAAGATAAATCCCTAACGCTGTGCTAGCTCTTGCAGTAAGAGCCAACATCAACTCTGTTCTCAAATTACTTCTGTGCAAGATGTTTTGATGTGGTAGACTTATTCATGTATGACTTTATCTCCTCCCTTACAGTATCAGGAATTTTGGAGCATGAAACAATATTCTCGTGAGACCCTGAAAGGTGATCCTTCATCCTAGTCATACCGCCCTTCACAACTTTGTCACAATAATTGCATTTTAGATAAATATATGTTTTATTACTTCCTTCTACATCCACCTGAGTGCTATGTTTCTATGCTGGATCTTTTCTATGACCTGATGCAGCTTTATCCTTACTTCTGACCATCCTTTATGAGAAGAATATATTAGTGCAATATATCAAACTCCTAAACATAATGCGTCACTTATTCTATATTAAGAAAATTTATACAAAGCATGCACTCATGAAGAAGCAAACTAACACTAACAGCTATTACTAAAGATGATGAATACAGCAATATGCCGGGTAGTCGGGGGTCCAAGGGGGAGCTGCCCCCTGGCGGGGTTCGACCTGCCCGGTTAGGTTGCGGGGTCAAGGGGTAGCGCCCTTGCGGGGGTTTGTAATT